CTCTCCTCTCCTCTCCTCTCCTCTTCTTTCTCTCCCAATCCCCTTCTTTCCTGTTCCATCTGGTACTTTCAAGTATTAACTCAGGTTTTTAACTTACTGCCCATTTTTTAATTACAAACTTTACTTTGCAAAAACTACTTTTATATCTGCGTTAATCGATTTTATATACTAGTATGAATTCTTGACACTTGAGAAAAATAGTTTAATAATTGACAGATGGATCTTTTACCACAGGTCACGTATAATCAAAGCTCACTCATAAATGCAGCTGTGAATTGACTTTTTCACTTCTGCCTTCCAGAAAATGAGGTATTCCTGGATGCATGCTGTCCTACTATTGAAATGAAGTATGTGCTAGTGAAAATGGTTATGAAATAATTTATAAAAATGTGAATCTTTTTTGATAATAATTTCCTAAGAGTGGCTAACAAGCTATAGAAGTAGAAAAGAAAAAAAATATTAGACTGTTTAAATTGGTGTTATAAAGTTTTATTTTTTTAAGATAGATTTATTTATTTATTTATTTACTTATTTATTTATTTATTTATTTATGAGAGAGAGACAGGCAGAGACACAGGCAGAGGGAGAAGCAGGCTCCATGCCAGGAGCCCGACGCTGGACTCGATCCCGGGACTCCAGGATCACGCCCTGGGCCGAAGGCAGGCGCCAAACTGCTGAGCCACCCAGGGATCCCCGGTGTTATAAAGTTTTATATTGAAATTAAAACAGTATTTTTGAATAATGCAGTAATTTCGGAGAAGGAAGAAAAGTATAATGACTTGCTTCTTTGATAATAACAACATGCTGAAGAGACATTTTAAACCCGTTTGTATTTGAATTTTCAGAAGGCTGACCTTGACCGTATCAAGATTCTGTCAACTATGGAGGATTGATTATTGATAAGATGTTAAGAACTGTGGTGTGCATAAATGAAGGTGCTATTCCAAGACGGGACAGCTACTGAACCAATACAAGATTGTTTCATGACTCATTGATTAACATACATTTTTGTTGTTTTTTTAAACATAGAATAAGTTTAGCTATAAAATGGATCAAACTGGTTATTGGATATTTACAGACAATAACTAGATGTTTCATAATTACTTAAATTCATTAAGACATTTTTATACTTTTGTTAATTCCTTGTAAAAGCAAGGAAGAGAGTTTTCCCTTTTTTTTTTCTTTCCTTTTTTGAGCTGAGCATCATAAGAAATTGATCAGCAAAATGTAGGCACTTTTTAATGAGTGAAAACATACTGCAAAGCTGATGGCTTCTTAAACATCTTTTCAAAAGAGATGTATAATATCAGTCCAACGATGGAAGTTTGTAAATAAAAAATTTTTTGAATCAAAACACTGTGCTTTCTCATGCCAAATTTGCTTTCCTTTTCAGAATACACTAAGCTTACTTTCAAAGTGAAAACCTAAACAAATGACAGAAAATAAGCTCTAAATTCCAAAGGATTTTATTTTTAACTTATAAAGGAAAAACTCCAGAATATTTAGTCTTAATTAAAAAGAGATACTATTAATGACCTATCCTTTTCAGAGCTGTACTAAGTGACTTAAAGATATTTTATTTTGTCTTTGCAATAACTGTATAAGGTAATTACTTCCATTTTTACAAATAAGTAAGTTGAGGCCCATAGAAATTAGACAACCTAGATTGAGTCATCAAGTTAGTAAGTAACAAGGCTAAAATGTATACTCAATCCTGTCTATCTCCAAAGCCTTATGCTTCTAACCTCTACCCTAGTTTCATGATCAGTAATTAATTAATCAATGAACCCTCTCTGCATACTAGAGCCTTAGCTTTAATTATGATCTTAGGCCTATTATTTATATGACATTAATTGAACATATAGAACAAATTATAAAATATACCTCATGCCTCTGATATTACATCATTTTTTTTCCACTAGGAATTGATTATATCCTTAGCCAAATATGATAAAGAGAAATAAGTCTTTTCTGGTCTACCTCTTATCCTTTATTAATATTATCATTATTTATACTAGTTTTGCCACTTCTATACCTGCCACGTTTCACACTACTTGTCCTATGTTGTCTGCTCCAGGATGATGTGTCAGGGTTTTCGTTACAATTGCTGAGAACACTTGATCCCCTATTAACTCTCCTTCGGAATCCACAGTTCTATAAGTACTAAATCTTAAGGTTTGTTCCCTCTGCAAAATGTCTGCTACCGCTTCCAATCACCTGGAAGTGGTTTGTGCCTTTACTCTGCTTTATGTGCTTTGCGGTCTGAAGTAGGAGTAGAGGGGCTTCATTGATATCTGCATGGGAAAACGCAAAATTGCAAATTGAGTATCACCTGAAAAAAGTGTACTGGACTCTAGAAACATTTTGTAATGTGCTATGAAATGTCTTTAAAGCATTGCTGCTTTCCATCATGATCATGATCATGATCAGTATCATCATTATCCCAGAATCTCTAACAAGGTAGTAGCTTATCTCTTGTAACAAATAGACTCCAAAATGTAGCAGCACAAAAAACAGAGGAGTATATTTTTTGCTCATGAAACAGCCTAGGTTGAGCACTTCCGATCAGAAGACCACTCTCCTCTATCAGTAATCCATGGTTCCAGTTTCCTTCCATCTTGGGACTTTGCTATCCCCAAAGGACCGCTCATCAACTACATCAAGCAAGCAGAAGGGCATGGAGGAGGCACGATCGATCCCCTGGTCTTGAAGTGACCTGCAGCGCTGCAGCTCACAGGCACTTGTCAAGAATTGTCACATGCCCCAGCTAGCTGCAAAGATTGTTGGGCAGTCACTTTCTAGATGTAACTCTATCACTGTGGAGTAGAGAAACAATTTTGGTGGGCAGCTGGCAGTTTCACCCACAGAGTAACATCAGAAGGAGAATAACCTGCTGGACAGGTTAAATAGACCTGAACCAACCTCAAGATTCCTCTTCCTCTCAGAGCATTTTTGCTGATTACCACCCTTAGAGATTACCATTAAGAACCATCTGAATGACTTTGGGGGAAAGTTTGGCAACTATGAACAAATTATGTTTCTTAAATACGGGTAGGACAGCCAAGCCATGGGTAGAATATCCAAACAAGAATCCACTAAACAATAAAGAAAGCTTAGGTAGCACAAGCAGAAGAAATGCTGTAAATATAAAATAAACGGATTTAGAGATAAATCTTAGGCATTGGCAGCTTGCTTGTTAGTGTTTTAAAACCCGGAGGTAACATTTAACCCCCCAACCAGTAAGGTGTTCCCCATGAACCACAAAAAAATACCCACCATTCAGGTTAAGAAAGGTATGTGGAGCTCTCTCACTTGACATTCTGGAACCCACCTTCCCAATTTGTGTGACCAGTCTCTGAGAACTGCCTCTTTCTATAGTAATTCACACTGCATAGGATAATAATGCAATAATGACATCCTTCCTTCATAGAAGGCATACGCCAATAAAAACAAATAGGAACTAATTTCTTTAACTCTTCTTTGGAGCTACCTGGGAATTTTATTTATCTGTCTTCTTTACCAAAATTTGAGATCCCTGGTATCAGGAATTGTGCCTAGTTCAGTTTTGTGTCCTAGCTGGTATAAGCTTGGCACCTGGTAGGTTCCTAACATTCTGTGCCATGCACATTGAAGGAAAGTAGCATATACAAAACATGGTAGTAAGTTCCCCATTGTCTGTAGGATAAAAAATGTAAATTTCACACAATGGCGTTCAGAGCCCTCTCCAATTCACTCCAACTTTTGAATCCCATCTCTTATTATATCTTGCAAAAACTCTCTACCCGAGCACATCTACTTCTCCCAGACAATATTGTTGACTTTACCATGACCTTAAAAAATCAAAAGAAAAAACAAAAACCTTTACTTAAAAAATCACAAGCTAAGAGGAAGTACCGTTTTTCACATAAAAGAGACTTTTCCCTATAATGAATTACTATACTATAATGAAATAACATTTTTAAATCCCTTAAGTGAACATTTTCCAGAAAATTTTTAGAGATGTTTTTGGTGACTCAACAAGTGGGATTTGATAAAATTAGCTCTTAAAATCAATATTCTGCACACCTGTTATTTTCTTTCACTTTTAATTAGATATCGATACATCATTATCACAATGCTGACCTTCATATTCGAAGCTGGTACTCTTAACCTGCCAACAGCAGGTCATGTGCTTTGAGCTGTTTTCCAGCAATAATAAATTTGTCTTAAGCTATCTACACTCTCTGGCCTTGTCTTTCTAATGACTAACAGGATGAATTTATGAAATGGTTGGCCACCGTTAAGGATGAAATCTGTGACTGTTGAGGATAATGAAAATAATGGGTTCACAGGGTTAAACCCATTACCTTGGCCTCATTAGCACCATATTCAAATCAACTATACTAATCAAGTACCCATTCACCTATTTTTACATGCAGTCTGGACACCAGACAGATATGTACCAAATATCATTCTGGGCATTCATTTTTAGAATTGTTCTTCACAAGGCCTAATTTGGTCTAGGCCCATTCTTATTTCTTCATGGTACTCTTTCTCAATTTGTAAATTCTCATTTCTATAAAATTACATCTTTGATACTCCCCTGCAGCAAAATAGCTGTCCACAAACACGGAATCCTGTACAAATGAAATAATAATAGGCTAGGAAGGGAAATCTCCAAAAGAACACTTCTTCCATTAGGCTCCCTAGCCGGCTCCGTTTTGCTAAGATATGGGCTTCCCTGTACTTTTACTATGACTACTTAGTGTGTTTTGTTCATTGCATTATTAGAAAACAAGAACAATAATGTCACATATTTTTTTTTTCAAGGTATTCACTCATGAAGGAAATAATGGATCCATTTTGCTACAAAACACCACGTCATGGTAAGTAGCTCCTGGACACTAACAGATCTAAACATAGATTTGCAGTTTGAACCCCACGCTGCTCGGTAGGGTCCCTCTTTTTCTCCGCCTGTGACAGTATCAACACACCCTTCATTGGCCTTTCTCCCAGGAAAATTTGCTTTAGACATGGAGCTGTATGAGCTTTCTTGAAAGTGTATTTGTCAAGATAGACAAGTAATGATAAAGTCATATGAAGTTTGGGAATCTTGGAAAATTTGCAAGTGTGAGCTGACCTGAAAACACCTGATGCACCCCGTCGACAGGCACTCAATGTCACAGCAGCGCACGCTTCCTGACAGCAGTGGGGCATGTGGCAGCATGGGCTCCTGCTGCTTTCAGCCGGTCTCTTCAGTGCCAAGTGGACCCTGGAAAGCAAGTAAGAGAGTCCTCTCTCACTCCCTCTCCTTATTCTCACTCAAAACCTCAAACCCAATAATTCTGGTAACCAATGTACTTAGTGCAAAGACAAGAGGCTGGCTTTTGTTAAAAATGAATTTATATAAAATTTTTTTAAATAAAAAAATAAAGATAAAATGAATTTATATTCAGAAACTGGACGTTTTGTAACCAGGCTTGTGAATCCACAAATTACCAGACAGGACTTGCCCAATTATTCGAAACAAACAAACAAAAATCTCCCAAGAATTTTAATAATAAAGTTATTTCTAAACTTTACTTTTTGGAGACATAAAATTAGGGTTGGCACAGTCATACTTTTTAAGCTTTATAACATTTTGAAAATAAATTTATTTTAAACCGTTTTCTACTAAACAATGTTCACTGAGGTCACCATTTTTGAATCTGACATTTATAAATATAGCAGAGACATTTTTCATTACATGTTTGTGATTTTCTTCTCCTGAGCTCAGAGATTTTGACTTCCGGGTAACCTGGCTATCCCCACTTGCAAAAGCACAGGCGTCTGATCTTACTGTAGATGTTATATTTCAAATTAAAACCATTTTTATGCTTGATTTTTTTTAAAAATGTCTGTTTCCATTGTTTAGTTTATCTTCAATTAACTCTTTTCAAAATAAAGGGTTATTCTCTTTCTTTGTTGAGAGGGAGAATCCAGGGTAATGTCCCTGAGTTGTGAATGTTCAGTCCAGGAAGGGATTTTTTGTTTTTTTTTTTTTTGTTGTTTGTTTGTTTGTTTGTTTTGTTTTTGTTTTTTTCCAGTGCTGACCTTTGTTATGCCATAGTTATAGCAACAAGAAGAGTTCCTTCTGTCCGTCTGTGGCACGTTCTTTCCAAACTAATGACAGTCTTTCTAGTCTGTTGTGTAATATGGAGAATGCCTTAGGTGCATCGATTTCTTGATTTATTGATGTTTTTAGCAAAACCAGCAATTTAAGTGGCAGTATTTTAAATAGATGAAATTAATTGAAATGAAATTTGCATATTCTATGTGTCTGTGGGATGTGGCTCATTCTTTTAGATATTTTTCATATTGTCTTTAAGCTCCCGTAATCAACTTGCAGTTTAACTTCTCAAAGATCAAGTTTATTTATCCTATCATTATATTCTTAATCTAAACATGCAGAGAGAGAAAGGACGAGAGAGCCAGGGAAGCTCTCCTTAGGAGAGTAATGTGTTGTGATAACATGCGGTTTGTCTGCCAAACTGGGCCACACAATCTCACTATGACCTTGGGCATTCTAAGTCTCATTTTACTGATCTGGAATATCAGTTTAATTATAGTAATTACCTATCTCACAGGGTTTGTGAGGTTTAATTAATGTTAGCAGAGTGTTGGAGCTATTTAGTAGAACAGTACTATAAAAGGCAAACTACCTGAAAATCACAACTCCCTCCCTTCCTCCCCACATGGGACTTAATTTTCTACAGTCCTTTTTCTTTTTTCTTCAGATTTAGTATCACATTTACTGATTTTTTTCCTCCCCTCCATATCTCTGTCAATGGTCTTCCCTGCTTGAGACTTGCCTTGGATGAAGCCCATGGCCTCTGCTCCACTTCTCTCAGTAGTACCATCTCCTTCAGGAGCTGAGACATTCCTGAACCTAAAAGGCTCAGGAAAACTGCAGCATCTGAGCAAACAGCTGTGTCTGTACACTTTCCCTTAAGTCAGAGTCACAGACCACCAGGCTACAATTTGAATTTGGGCCTCAAATACCTTTTGCTTGGATTCATGGTATTATCTGAGTTAGACTTCCAGTCTTTTTCAAAAATTGGGAGATCTGAAAACCCTGTGTCTACATTCCCTTCTGGAAAATAGTATCTAGAGCTGTGATTAGGTCTCTAGTTTGCCTGCATTCTTAGCACTCTCTATTATCTAACACTTGTCCACCTAAACATTGGAATTTGCAACTCAGGGCCTCTGAGTACATTTGTGCTAGCTGTTCACTGCACAACAATGCGTGGCCAAATGGACAAGCAGGGGCTGGAATCCAGCCCATTGCTCTGCTTGCCAAGCCATCTTCTGGTGAGTCTAATTTGCACAAAGGCATTCTAGGGACCAGAAGTGGCCTTGTCAGTTATCCCAGCTATAAGTCAATTAAAGAGAACAGTGACAGGGGAGCATGGATGGCTCAGTTGGTTGAGTGTCTGACTCTTGACTTTGGCTCAGGTCATGATCTCAGAATTGTGGGATCTAACCCCTCACTGGGCTCTGGGCTTAGCGGGGAGTCTGCTTGGGATGCTCTCTCTCCCTCTTTCTCTGCCCCTCCCCCACCTCACACGAGTGCATGTGTGCTCTCTCCCTCAAAATAAATTTTTAAAAAATCTTAAAAAAAAAGAAGAGTGGTTGCCACAGTGAACTTAATTAGTATTAAAAAATTAACATCCAATCCTTGAAATTATGCCCCCAAGACTATATCAAGCTTAAAATCGTATTCAATTTTATCCTTTACTCCCTTCCCTGTTTTTTTGGTAGACTCATTGTACCTGAAACAGATTCTAACATGAAATATTTTTCAAATAGGATGTAAATAGCATGCCGATTTTAGTTGTGTTAACTCACTGAAACTGAAATAGGAATTATATTTAATTAAAAATTAAGAAAATGATTAAAAGTGTAATATATATTGGATAGTTGTAAATAATGTTACATTGCTTTCTTTGGGGACAACTACTCTTTGAAAGAGGGGCCAGTGCCTGCACCTTAGTCTCTGTTAACTACTAACATTTTGTAACGGTAACACTGCTTGAAAGAGAAATTGCTTTTACCTATTAGTAACTTAGCTCTCTTAAAATGATGATGATGGCATTTCCTTTTCAATGTTTCTATTTTTAGAGTTTTCTATTCCTATAATTTTTGCTACCCTATATTAATGAAAAATAAGGGGTCCCTGGCTGGCTCAGCAGTTTAGCGCCTGCCTTCGGCCCAGGGCGTGATCCTGGAGTCCTGGGATCAAGTCCTACGTTGGGCTCCCTGCATGGAGCCTGCTTCTCCCTCTGCCTGTGTCTCTGCCTCTCTCTCTCTCTCTCTCTCTCTCTCTCTCTCTCTCTCGATTAAATAAATAAAATCTTTAAAAAATAAAAAAGAAAAATAAATGTTACCCAATGACAAAATTAATTTTCACTTCTTTCTTTACCAAATTTCAAGAGTCCAAACTTGAACAAAGTCCAATGAATGCTAATTCTAGATACTTTAGTGACCAATAATCTATTTTCAAAAGAAACCCAGATATGTATATCCTTCCTTTATACACAACTTAACTTTATTCTTTCACCATAGAAAGAAGGAGCATTTTCAGATTTCCACTCATTACAGTAAGAGAAAATTACTCACACTGGCTTAAATTATGAAGTCCCAGATGGGACAGGCTTCAGGTGTAGAACAATCAGTGTGTCATGGGTGGTTCGGGTTCTTTCCATCTCTTCCCTCAGTCATCCCCATCACCTTGGCTCTTCCGTCAGGCAGGTTTCCCTCACAGTTACTGCTGCAGTAGTTCCAATCATCATTTCCAGGCATTAAAAGATTTCAAGAAAAGAAAAGGACTGTCTCTATTGGTGTCTATATCTTTAAAGCAGTAAAATCTAGAAGCACTAAGATTGACTTCCGCTAACATCTCATTAGCCAAAATTAGGTCACATGTCCACACCTGCACCAACCACTCTCAAAAAGAATGAGATTGACTTAGTCTTATAAGTACCTACTATCCCTGGAACTAGTGATGAGATCATCCTGAAGCATATGACTGTGTGGAGGATAAGAAATTTCTGAACATAATCCTGGTTCAATTGAGAAAAAAGGAAGGAGGAGGTCGGGGGACTGGATAGATGTTGGTGAGACATGTATCAGTGTCTGTTGTTGCCTTATATAACTCCATCACTTTGTTTCTGCTCTCTTGAAAAGCTAACCAGCCCTAACTCTCATGAATCATGCCAGACTATATGTGATAAGAAGTCAGTTTATGGATGCCAGCATTTTATCATGAGCGAATTAGTGAATTATAATTCCAGTTATAATTGTCTATAAGTAGAGCTTGTGTTTAGCAACATGGCTTTCTGAACAAAGTTTTACATATGGTTACTCTAATGTTTGCCTCAGAACTTTTGTGCTGTCCTATACAAAAAAAAAGGGTACATCTAAGCTCAGATATAATGGGTAGGGTTAAAAACTCTGGCTATGGGGAGAAAGCAGAGAGAATGAGGAAGTTAGAATAAATTAAGAGAAGTGGTAACATTTTTATGGTACAGCACATCTATTTACATAATTAAATCCACCATAAATAATTTCCTCTTATATCTTCTGCTGGCCCTTAAAGCCATTATTTTAACTATATTTGCAAGGTATGAAAAGCAAAATAAATAGCCAGTCTTTAAAATTTCAAGTTGATCCCCAAACTGACTCAAATTTGCAAAAATCTGGCATAATTTAAAAGTAAATAAATAGAAGCAACACTTAGCAGAAGGTTCCTAACATAAACAAAGCTGTGCACGTTTTGTTTATTTATGGGATCCATGCAAAGTGTCATATTCATTTAAAAATATTCAGCACAAGAGTGATTGATTTAAAAAATTGAACAGAATTAAGGAGTCTGAACATTCTTTAAACCTAAAAGTTTGGAAAAGGAAAACTGACTAGATTTTGTAATATTATACTTGGGAAAACATTTTTCTCCTTTATGTCTGTTCAAAGTTTTTAAAAGGATGATGGTGAGAAAGGTAGCCACCATTTCTCAAAAGTGTACATAAATTGGGATGTGACTAAACCCCACTTTTCATATAACACTTGAATGTTGCTCCAGGTTAAGTATTGAGATGTAGGTGTGAAATCTCCTGCATTAGCCTTTTTCATTCAATGAACTTTTATGATGTTCCCAAAAGACAAAAATTCTTACCTGTGGAACTCGGTTTTACTGTCATCTCCCTATTCAGCTGGTGCTCTTCACTCTCCCTTTCCATCCTGAATTATTTCCTATCATATTTTAATAGAATAAACATTCCTTAACACCAGTTATGTGCATGACATAGTGTGAGGTCCTGATGGAAGTCAAAACTGCCCTGGAGAAGCTAATAATCTAACAGAGAGTGGTTAGACAAGGAGAAAACACACACACACACACACACACACACACACACACACATACATACACATCTAGGGACAATTACCCCATTTATTTTTCAACAAGAAGAATTTAAGTAAAAAGGTAAAGTGCATCAAAAAAAAAAAAAAAAAAAAAACAGATCCTGACAACTTCTATCCTGGAAGGGTAAATAGAGGCCGTGACAACAAACAGGAATGATTGGACAGATTGAGGGTTGGGATGCTCTTCAGAAAGACCTCACAAAAGAAATCTTCTCTGAATTGGAATGACCAACAAATGGAGGAGAAGGAAAAAGAATATTTGGTGGAAAGGAAGTAGTGTAAGCAAAAGCTAAGGGAACACAGCATATATCAGTGCCCACAAATAGTGTGTTGTCGAATGTGGCCCACATAAAGGGTCTCCCACGAAGAGAAAGAGTGATAGGTAATGAAATCCTGGAAGAAGAATAGAGTCAAATTGCATAAAGTCTTTAATGTTATCTTGAGGAAAAAGGACTTGTCTAGTAGTGAAAAGAGGCCATTAAATGTCGAGTATAGGACATTTACTATCAGCAGTTTTATTTTGTATTTTTTTAAGGTCCTTCTGACTTTCATTGGAGAATATGATTTGGAAGGAGGAGAGACATAGTGTCCCTGAGGGCATTTTATTTATTTTATCTTTTATTAGAATTTATTTATTTATTAGAGAGAGAGAAAGAGCAGGGGGAGGGGCAGAGAGAGAGGCTGAGAAATTATCAAGCAGATTCCCTGCTGAGTATGGAGCCCAAAACACAGCTGAGCTGATCCCAGGACCCTGAGATTCCAGGATCCTGAGATCATGACTTGAGCTGAAATCAAGAGTGGGCCCCTTAACTGACTGAACACCCAAGTGCCCCTTTTGAGGGCATTTTAGACTCAAATTCTTGCTACAAAATAGAACAGATGGAGACCAGTAGAAAATTTTTGAAATGCCTAGATTTTATTCAAGGGACTGATAAGTTTCGAAGACAAGTAAGGTGACTCAGAAAGAGTCATCAGGAAAGGAGATAGTGACAAGAAATCCCAAAAGGAAGGGTATTCCTAAACTGCTAAGTGGTCCACAGAAATAATGATGCTGAAAAATCCAAAAAAGCTTTGAAAGATGTGGCCAGGGGCAATCCCAGGGTTGTATTCAGAGCAGTTTTATTTTCACCACTAATTGGTTTGGGAAGAGATGGCAGCTTCCTTTTACTATTACTACTATGAGTGCAACCCCACAATTGGCGTCTGCTCACTCATGTGCCAAAATCATGGTTATTTTATAATTTATTTTAAGGGAAACTATTATTTATTTTGTATGGAAAAACAGAAACTAGAGGTGCCAGCTATATATTTGAGCTTGCCCCCAACCAACAAATTTGGCAGTAAGAACGACATTTTGCAATCAGAGGAGAGTTTCAAAGGCTTTGTGGTTACAGGATAACCATGTAGTTAAGACCATCTTTTTTCTAGTCTCCACACCTCTATCAAGATGATAAAGAGAGGTTCAAAAATTCCAATCTTTGCATACCTCCTAATACTCTCCTCCTTGTCAGAACTCATCAGGATCATCAGGACTCATCTCCTAATGCACTTTATCACTATTTTGGCCAGTCAAAATGAGAAATCCTGATTCCCAGGACAGAGTTCATTTTCTACATTCTCATTTCCTTTTTTTTTTTTTTTTTAAATTTTATTTATTTATGATAGTCACAGAGAGAGAGAGAGAGAGAGAGAGGCAGAGACACAGGCAGAGGGAGAAGCAGGCTCCATGCACCGGGAGCCCGACGTGGGATTCGATCCCGGGTCTCCAGGATCGTGCCCTGGGCCAAAGGCAGGCGCCAAACCGCTGCGCCACCCAGGGATCCCTACATTCTCATTTCCATATAGCTCTGCACATCCGCATTTCAGCAGTTGTCTTCCTGTCTGGAACCTCCAATCAGAAGCTCAGGTAACAGCCTGGGCCTACAGCTGGCATGTGAGAGGTGGTGGGGAGACAGATTTGTGCAACTGCACCCTTAACCTAGGGAATCTGATGCTATCTCCAGTAAGATAGTGTCAGTATTGAGTGAAATTCAATTCTCAGATGCCCTGGTGATATCCAAGAATTGCTTTGTGTTGTGTTGGCAGGGGAACACTACCCCCACCCCAACATTGGAACTGAATTTGGAAAAGAGTTGGTGTCAGTGGAGGCTGGAAAAAAAATGTACAAATCTCTGTCTCACTCTAACTTCATGGCAGTTAGTCAAGTGGGCATTTAATGTTGCAAAGCAATTATGCTACTTTTACTCTTCCTCTTCTTTCTTTCATATTCTTCTCAAGCCCCAAATACCTACTCCCTATTTTTTATTCTAGTTCTCTACTTTCATTGAGTTCATGAGAACTATGAGAATAAAAATTCTGAGCTCCCACCATCACATCTACTCATCTTCCAGAAACAGTACACATTTTTCCTTTCCTCTTAGTGGAATAAACTCTAAGTATTCCTACTTAAAGTCAAACCCTCCACATTTTCACCAAATTCCATTTGCTCTGGCCCCACCTAAGAACCTCATTCTGCAGTTTTCCCCTCTCTTTCATGATCAAATTATTTATCTCAACTATACTATTACCATTAGTATACATATTGTATATACATTTATATACACATGCATGTACAATAAATATACATATTATATGTATGTAAAAAACATATATTCCCATTTTAAACCTATTCCTTGCTTTGCCTAGAGCTCATTCATCCTTTGATAGCAAAATTTCTTGAAATAATTATATGTACAATGCTACAACTTCCCTCTTTCCTTTATCTGTTAAACTGACTCCAGTCAGGCTTTTGTCAAGATTTCCAATGACTTGTACCATGTTAAATCCAAGATCAGCTTCAGTCTTCCTCTTTTTTGCCCCATCCACAGCATTTAGTATTTTTTTCCAATGGCTTTTAGGAAACCATGTTCCTGGTTTACCTTCTGCCTTGTGAACCTCTTCACCCTGAAATGACCCAAGGTTTACTCTTTAGAATGCTTTTTTCTTGTATATCTATACTCATTCCCTTGCTGATCCCATCCAATCTCGTGGTTTTAAATTTTATCTATGTCCCAAAGACCCTAAATTTGAAAAATCCACCTAAATTTTCTAAAGTTGAACACCTCTCTTTCTAAAACCAGCAAAACTGGGCCTCATCTAATGGCAAGTACATCACTCCAGTTGCTCAGATCAGAAATTTTGCTATACAGGGGTACTTGGGTGCCTCAGTCAGTGAAGTGTCTGCTTTGGCTCAGGCTGTGATCTCAGGGTCCTGCTACTGTGCCCCAAGTCAGCTCCTTGCTCAGGGGGGAACCTGCTTCTCCCTCTCCCTCTGCTGCTCGTATGCTTGTGTTCTCTCTCTGTCAAATAAATGAATAAAATCTTAAAAAAAAAGAAATATTGGTGTCCTTCTTGACTCTTTATCTGTCATGTTTCCCTACTATCAAAATACATTAAACAACAACAGCAATATACCACCTCTTACCACCTCAACTGCTAATACACTGCTTCATACCACCAGCATCTCTCAGCCAGAGACCCCTATGACTGGTCTCGTTTCATCCTTCTCTTCTCCAGCCTATTAACAACACTGTAGCTACAGTGATCCTATTAACAAAACTCAGATTTTTCATGCCAGTATGTGAAAATCTCAGTGGCTTCCTACTTCCCTCAGAGTAAAAGCTAAAGTCCCTATAGTGGATAAAAAGGGTCTACATAATCTGGCTTCTTTTTCCCTCATTTCCTCCATGTTTAACTACTCCAGTCTCCTTGCTATTCCTGGATTAGCTCAGGTTTGCTCTGCCTTGAGATCGGGCAGTGTTGTTCCCTTTGCTTGGCTTGCTCTTCCCCAGCATCTATGTCGATTGTTCACTTCCTTCCTTCCTGCTTTTACTCAAATGACTCCTTAGTGAGGACTTACCTGTCTACTCTTTATAAAATGTCATCCTACACGTTGGCACTCTGTATATCCTTTCCCTACTTGTAATGGTTAATTTTACGCGTCAACTTGACAGGTTCTTAGGAATATGGTATATGCCTAGATATACGGCTAAATGCCATTTCTGTGTGTGTCTATGAGAGTGTTTCTGGATGAGATGAGCATTTGAATCTTTATGCTGAGTAAAGCACATTGCCCTCCCCAGTATGAGTGGACCTCATTCAATCCACTGAAGTCCTGTATAGAACAAAAAAGGCAGAGGAATAGAAAACTGGCTCTTGGCCAGATTGTTTTCAAGCAGGGACATCACCTTTAGGCTCATACTACAACTTACCCCATCAGTTTTCCTGGCTCACAGGCCTCAGACTTGGGCTGGATCCATATGCCATCTGCTGTCCTGGGTATCTAGCTTGCAGATCGCAGATTGTGGGACTTCTCAGCCTCCATAGTAGTGTGAGTCAATTTCTTATTATATCTATATCTTTGTCCATTTCTCTGGAGAATTCTAACTATATACTACTTAATTTTCCATGATAGTATTTATCACCCCTTAACAATATATAAACAACATATACTCAAAAACTGTTCTCTCCTCACAGAAGGTAAACTATAAGGGAACAGGAAAATTATTTTGTTCAATGCTGTAAATAATGTAAGGCATGCAATAGTAACTCAGTTTTCTCTTCTTCTTCTTCTTCTTCTTCTTCTTCTTCTTCTTCTTCTTCTTCTTCTTTCTTCTTCTTTTTGAGAGACAGAGAGAGTATATGTGTGAGAGCAAGCGGGGTGGGGGAAGAGGCAAAGGAAGAAGGAGAGAGAGAGAATCCTAAGCATGCTCCACACCTGACACAGAGACCAACGTGGGGCTCCATCTCATGACAATGAGATCATGGCCTGAACCAAAATCAAGAGCTGGGCACTTAACCAATTGAGCCACCCACGTGCCCCAAAGTAACTCAATTCTTAAAAGTATGAATAGATCAGAGTAATAAAAAATACACAAGAGAGGGAATAATTATAAAGTTAACAATGAAACTTTAAGAATTGGATCAGAAGCCCAAATGATAGAACCAGCCTTGGGAAAAAGTAGAAACAATCTTCTGAAAAAAAAAGAGCAAAGAGGGGAGAAGAAAAAGTAAAGAGAAGAAATAAGGGATTATAAAGGTGATTCTGAGGTAGTGTAGTGGGAATTAAAGAGGTTTTAATTCTGATTACCTCTATTTTTCATTAATTCAGTAACCCTAGTAAAAGTGAGGGAGTGAAGGTAGTTGCAGGGCATATAATCAGTGGTAAATATTTGAAACATTAACTCCAGGAAGCATGGAGGAGACTCCAAGATTTAACAGCATATCTAGAATATTTTAAATGTTCAGTGAACATGTGTTGACTTCAAATAAGTAAGCTAAGGAAAAGTAAATTCGTTAATAGCAATATTGATACTTGACCAAAAATGAGTAAGTTTGTACCTTTGCAGTGGAGTTTTAGCTTCTTAGGAGCAGAATAGAGGGAATATGTGTTTGGATTGATACAGAGTGGATAACTGGTGTGGTGAGCATGGCCAAACTTAGTGAACACGATAGAATTAAGGATCCTGCCAAGAATGTGCTTGAGGCTATTTTTGTATTTCAACAAATATTTAGAAACAAGTATAGAATTTTTCCTAGTATTTCTTTATTATTCTTTTAATGTCCATAGTATCTATGATAATGCTCCCTCTTTCATTTCTGATATTAGTTCTAATATTAGTGTCCTTTCTTCTTCTCTTGGCCTAATTGGAGACTTATCAATCTTACTGTTCTTTTCAAAGAACCAGATTTTGGTTTTGTCGATTTTTCTCTACTGATTTTCTATTTTTGATTTTGTTGATTTTTGCACTAATTCTTATTACTGGCATACTCTGGAGATATTTCAGGGTGGTTTCAGATCACTACAAAAAAGCTAATATCACAATATAGCAAGCCATGAAATTTTTGGCTTCCACTGCCTATAAAAGCTTTTCACGTTATACTGTAGTCTATTAAGAGTGTGATAGCAAGGTCTAAAAAACAATGTACATACCTTAATTAAAAAATATTCCATTACTAAAAAATGATAACCATCATCTGAATTTTCAGTAGGTCATAATCTTTTTGCTGGTGGAGAGTCTTCTTTCTATGTTGCTGGCTGCTGATTGATTGGGGTGGTGGTTGCTGAAGGTTGGCGTGGCTATGGACAACAATTAGTTTGCTGTGTTGATTGACTCTTTCACTGGAACACTTAGAGGCCATTGCAGGATCTTAGTTGGCCTATTACTGTGTCTCCAAGAATAGGGAGGCTTGAGGAAAAGGAAAGAGATAAGGGAACAGCTGGTTTCTAGAACAGTCAGCACATACTCAAAATTTATTAAGTTCACTGAAATGAATGGGTACGGTTTGTGGTGCCCTGAAACAATGAAAATAGTAACATCAGGGATCCCTGGGTGGCGCAGCGGTTTGGCGCCTGCCTTTGGCCCAGGGCGCGATCCTGGAGACCCGGGATCGAGTCCCACATCCAGCTCCCGGTGCATGGAGCCTGTTTCTCCCTCTGCCTGTGTCTCTGCGCCTCTCTCTCTCTCTCTCTCTCTCTCTCTCTCTCTGTGACTATCATAAATAAATAAAAATTAAAAAAAATAGTAACATCAAAAGTCACTGATCAAAATCACTGTAACAAATATAGTAAGTTTGAAATATTATGAGGATTACTAAAATGTGACCGAGAGACATAAAGGCAGCAAATGCTGTTGGAAAAATGACACTGATAAACTTACTTGACTCGAGTTCTCACAAACCTTCAATTTGTAAAAAAAAAATGCAGTACCTGTGAAACACAATTAAATGAATCATAATAAAATGAGGTATGTCTGTATTTCTTTTATTCTACTTACATTGGGTTTAGCTTGCTCTTCTTTTCCCAGTTTCTGTGGTACAAACTCAGGTTGGTGGGTTTCAGATATTTCTTCTTTTCTTACGTATACATTCAATGCTATAAATTTCCCTCTAATCACTGCTTTTGCTGCATCCCACAAATTTTGGTAATTTATGTTTTCATTTTCATTTAATTCAAAATATTTTTTAATGTCCTCTTGAGATTTCTTTGACTGATATGTTACTTAGAGGGATGTCATTTAATCTCTATGTATGCTAATATTTTCCAGTTATCTGTTATTGATTTTTACCTCTTTGATTTTTTCTCATAATTACTTTGATTTTCCCATATAAAATTTATCAAAAACTTTTCTATTGAAATGGGGTATACTGCCTACATTTTACTTTCATTCCCCTAGAGTCTCATTTCCTTAGTGCAGCGATAGTTGTGATCCAAAGCTGAATTCCTCTCCAACAGTTGCTCTCAGCTAAGAGAGCAGCTTCACTTAGGATTATGTCCCTGCTTGGGTGCAGCCCACTGAACCTGACTGGTGTGGTCAAGAGGGCTAATGACCTGAACCCTATACCTCAAATTGGGACAACTTTGAAGGGTCAGTCAAACTCTACAACTCCCTGGAATGTCAGCTAGCTGAGTCTCTTGCAGTAACTGCATCATAGTTCAGCTTCCCTTTGGGCTCAGTCCTTCTCTCATTCCTCACAGTTGTCATTCCTGGGACTTATACCCAATATTCCTTGGCACGCAAATGTCAGAGTCTCATAATATTTGACTTATGATAATTATACTGGAATTGATTCTAGGGGGCAAAGTCTAAAATGAGATGTTTAGAACTGGATCATCAGCAAGTGAGCTGCAATAAAAACTTCCTTGGTAGGAGTAGATTAAACATTGTTAGGTACAGGCATCTGGTTGTGGTGAAATTATTAAAATGTTCAGTGGTACATAACTGGGAACTAGATATTAAATGGAGTTCACTGGCAGGTATAATTTCTCAGGAGTTTGAGAATCTCAAAAATAATAATTTTAAGGACTTTGGAATATGCTGGTTATTTCCGAGGATCATTGATACATTGGAAGCATGGAGAATCTGAGGGTGATTATAAGTAACAGTATGAAATTTAGAGGGTC